GCCCACTGCAAAAGGGATGATGGCCGAGCTGAAAAGTCCAAACCTTCCCACCCTTACCCCTTTTATTTGATTGCTTTGCTTGAGGGCATTTTTGTCCCCGTCCCATCTTTCTGCTGCTAATACTGAGCTGGCCAGATCACGCTCTGGAGCACACAGTAGCCAGTGTAGGACATTAGTTTTTCTCAAGCACTGCAAGCACAGCCATCTTGCCCAACTCTGTGCTCTGTGCTCTGCTGAGAACAGCTGAAAGGCAAGGAAGAGGTCGGGGTGGCTTCCACATGGATGGCTCTTCAAGGGAAAGGATGCTCCTGACTGCTCCTGCCCTGCTGGACAGAGGGGCTTTGCCACGGCCATCCCCGTGCTGTCCGTGCATTGCAGTGATCCCTTCTGCCTTATTTTATCCTGCTGAGTGCTGGGGAAAATAAATGTGTTCCTTGAGAGCCCCTGCTCCACCTGGTGGGGCTGCCCAGTGTTTGATGGCTGCTGGACAGCACTGGTGGATTGTAACCTGGATATTCTGAATCTTCTTGCCAATCATTAACCTGCTCTCCCAGGGCAAAAGCAGCACGGTGCAGAGTGCCAGGACAGCACGTAGGCACCAATTAAATCTCTGGCAGGATGTAATCAGTGCATGTTACAGCCATTGCTGGCCTTCCTGCTCTAGGCAGTTCCAGTGTGCTTCCTGCCACTGGCTCTCCGAGCAAACAGAGGGGAATGGAGTTAATGGGTAACCACAGCAGTGCAGCCAGTGTGTCCTTTGCAAGGGTCACGTTTGGGAATTTCCTTTTCCTAGGGTTTCAGGTGTGTTTACTATGTGCAGTGCTCTTCATTGACAATTTTGGGGCCCCATATGGTGCAGCATCCAAATTCTCTTCATCAGCTGATTCCTTGACTTCTTCATTACTCATGTGGTAGCTACCCTATTTTTAGAAGACTAATAAAACACTACAGCAGTAGTAATCCTAGAGCTATTCTTGTCCATAATGATGCAGAAGTGGCTGAACTCTCACAGGGAACACGGAGTCCTCAGTGTAGGTGTCTCGGGGGCAGCTCATGGCAGCTGCTCCCCTGCTCCCACGCTCTGACATGAATGGCTTTGCAAGGAGATGACCTGGGAAAATGGCCCCATTTCCACTTGGCAGTAGGTAAGAGGAGAAAAATGATTCAGGCTTGACCAAAGTGCTGGTGGGAACATGACTGCTGTCATGAGAAGTTCCTCCTTGGCTGAGATGCAAGGCCTGTTTCTTCTCCTCTGACTGCACTGGAGGCCTCAGGGCCCAAGCTCACATTTAGATGTCTAACTCTGAGATGTCTAAATCACAGCCAATGAAGCCACCCTTCTCAGCCAGAATTTGCCAGGATCTTTGTGTAGGTCCTGGCCAAGGGCTGATCTCCCTGTTTCCCATTGTAGTCTGGAGATTGGCACTGCAGAGGGTGATTTACTCATCCCTCCAAACTGCCCTCTGGGGGACTCTTTTCTCTTGGCCAGAAAGGTATTTTGGGGGATCTTCTTTTGGCCAGGCTGAAGGTCTCCTTGTGAATCCTATCCCTCAGTGCTTGCAGACAGCATATTCCCCATGGCTTATCCCTCCACTGGCACTACAGGAGATAATTAGTGAGTGGCTAAGTCATATGTGCTGAGGGTCAGGAAAGACAATGAGGCAGATTTTCCCCCGGAGTAAAGAGATGTCAACAGAGTTGCACTGCAGTGAAATGATGGGATCTGTCAGTGACCCTGGCCCTTTCACTGAGCAAATAGCCCAGGGCAGTGACTTCCTCCAGAAGAATGGCATCCTCTGGCAGCCAGGCACCCTTGTGAATGCACACGTAGGGCTCTCCCAGGGACTGCTGTCCCCAGGAGACACACTGCCCAGGAGGCTTCATCCAAGACTCCAGGGCACAGCAGAATTCCTCAGACACTGCTACTTGGTGTTTCTGTAAAATCATCCCTCAACCCCCACGAGGACAAAGTACCTGCCCTTGGGGGCAGCAGCAGGAAGAACATGACCTTGAAAAACTGATCTCCAAAGGAGTTTTGAGATACTTCAGTAGCACTTGGAGATGGTAAAATAGAACAGAGACAGTCACCTTTGGCACACACAGATCAAGCAAGGGCTAGTCTCTTTGACATCCTTCAGCTCAATTCTTCTTCAGGCCTTATCCATGTTAATTAGAAGACCCTTGGCTAATGCTGTGAAGCAAGGTGTCTCTCTGGCTGTTTCAGTGCTTCCCAGAAGAGGGAAATTCTCTTTGCAGTGGCTAGGCTCCACATTAGAGCTGATCCATATCTCTACCCTTCATCTCTTTTCCCCCAAGTCTGTTACCTGACATTTATACAGCACAGTGTGAAGACCAAGAGTGGCCACGTCATTGACCTGGGGTATGAACAGCAAGAAAAAGCTCTTGATTTTTCAAGGGGATCTCACAATCCAGGAGAATTTCAACAAACTGTGTTGGCAAGTAAAATAAGCTCCTTTGACAGTACAAGTCTTGTGCATTAAAACAAAATAATCCCGTTTCACCTTGATGCTGCTATGCTCTAAATGCCAACATCACTCTTTATTCTGCTCACATTCCTCTCCAGTTCCAGGTAAAAGACCAAATGTCTCTCATCCTATTCTTGGTGATGAATCTGTCAAGTGTGGCCCCTTCCATTATCCTTTTGTGTCACCAATAACACCCTAGTTCATATCTTTGGGACTAAAACCCCTTTATCTGTAAGAGATCACATTCCTAGGTGTTATTCTAATGCTGCAATGGACTTTTCCAGTTGCTACACCTGGTGAAACGTGCTGTGGATTGAGATTGTGATGCAGCCAATTATGAGCAGAACATCTGTCCTCCAGCAGCTGAAGGCAGCGTGGCCATCGATGCTTTCAGCTCTGGCAGAGCCTCAGTGTGCTGGTGTGCCAGGGGGGTGTTTTCTATGGACTCTGAGTTAGAGCCTTGCTCTTCCAAGCTGCTTTCAGCACGTGCTGCCTGCATCTCTTCCATGTGTAGCAGCAATAGCTGCAGCCTGTTCCTAGGGGTGGTTTGTAAAACAAATGGTGTGTTCTGGCAAAAGAGGGTTGAGACAGATGGAAGAAAGTAATGACTGGGCTGGGGGCAGTCTTGGGGTTGCATGTTGTAGTACCAGGAGCCATCTCGCCCCTTTGATGAGCATTTCCACACCTGCTTCTGCGGAGGGAGTTGGGAACGTGGCCCTGAACAACTCAACAGAGCCCACAGCCATCATATGTCCCAGGAAGGTGCAGGAACCAACTGCAGCAACAGGCACTGGACACCCTTAAGTGCTTTGCTGTCCCTTGGGTGCTGCTTGACTCCTAAGGCAGCATAGCAGGGAGGGCCACAGTGCCCAGGGCTGTCACAGGTTGCTCTGAGAGAACATTCAGAGAAGGGAATGGTGCTGGGAGTCCAGGCAGCTTGCAGCACTCTGAGTCACCCGGCTTCTTTAGCCACCCGTGTTGGAATGTGGTGGCCCAAGTAACGGCACGATTGGATCGGGGAGACCTACAGTCAGAGGGATTCAAGAGGTCTTTGCATACTGTCAACATTCATTTGGAAACTGCTCCACATGTGGCCCCAGCTCGTGCAGTTGAGCCCTTGACCGCATCCTGTAAAACAGGGCAGCGCCTGCGCCCTGGGAGCTCTACCAAGTTGTCTCCAAGTGCTTTTAATTTACTAATATAACTAGTGAGATGTTCATGCTGTGTCCTTGCGCCGTGCCTCCCAGGAGAACAGCTTGTTGGGGTGTTAAAAAGATGCCAGTGTGCTTCTGTGAAGGGCTTCCTATGGGCGATGGTTTGCACAGCCCAAAGAAAAGTCCTTCTCGGATGACACGTGTAACATTGCAAGTATGTCCAAGGCTAGCAATTATTTTCCACATAAAATGGAATTTTATTTGCCTTCAGCAACATAGGCTGCTGGGACCTCTTTCTAAAGCTGGCAGTGCTTCCCAGTCTCTAAATACAGCGACTGTATGACACAGACCTGAGGTAAAAGCTTGGGGTAGAAGGCAGAAAGAGATGTTCTCCTGAGAAGAGCAGGCAGGGTGGGTTTTGATAAGATGGCTAAAATGGAAGGAAATGTAGTAAAACAGAGGGACTCGTGGGAGTCCCACTGCGGTCTCATAAGTGGCATTCAGTGTGTGTTGAAGGCTCCTATAGATCTCTGCTAAACTAGGCAACAAAAGATTTTGCCTATTAGTCAGAGACATCCCAGGAATGAGTCATAGCCAGTGGGAAAGGCCTTCCCGCAGCGCCGCAGAGCTCTGCCGCAGAGCCGCTCCCTCTGCCACGGAGCAGCAGCAGCACAGGCTCTTAGGTGACACCTAAAATCGTCACACACACCCTCTCCTGCTCTTTCGAGGCACTTCTGGCTGGTAAGATGAGTGTGTGCAGCTCAGCCCCATACATTTGTAGTCCACTGGAGTGGGTGTATTTGGGGCAGACAAAGTGCTTGCCCTATTTGTGGGCCTAGATGAAGCTACCAGCTCTGTCCAGGGCAAAACCTGGGGGTTGGAGAGGGATGAGTCCCCCTGGACCCTGTGGGTGTTTGTGTTGAGTGCATGGCACTGCTGGATGTGGCCGGTGAAGCACCAGAGTGATCAACATCCCTGCTAAGGAAGGTGCAGAACATGCATGTCCTCTCCACATCTCCATCTAGCAGACAGATCCTGCTGTCCATCAGGAAAGTGGCTTCTCTCCAGTGTGGAAAGCTGGGCTGGGCTGCTGGGACTCTTGGGCTCAACCCCTCACAAGTCTTTCTGTGTGAGTGAGAGCAGGTGTCAGATCAAACCATGCAACACACCGAGAGCGCTGGGTTCAGAGGGAGATGTTCACTCAGGAAATCCTGGGAAGGGGCTTTGTCCAAATCCTGTCCAGGCTTGTGAGGTCAGGCAGGGGTGACCCTCCAGGCAGCATCCCAGGGCCAGGAATGGTTGTCAGTTCATGAGGATGGTCAGCAATCGAGTAAGAAATGTCTGCTGTACTTTTCAACAGAAAGATTTCCAGACTGCAGTTCAACAAGGTGAAGCTGGAGGATGCTGGGGAGTACAGCTGCGAAGCCGAGAACGTTTTAGGGAAAGACACCGCAAAAGGCAGCCTGAATGTGAAAAGTGGTAAGTGAAGAAGTCAGCAAATGTCTCGAGCTGTCTGCCATTCCACAGAGAGCGGGAGGTTCTGCACATGGTCTGTCTTGTATTTTGTTTCATGCTTTCAGGATATCGAGTAAAACAATCTTTTGGGAGATAAGAAAAATGCAGCTTAGCATAAATGTTTATCTTTGTTATCTGTCACTGGCAATGTGGTTAATTTACATTTTAAATAAACTTACAGTCTATGTATTTTTTTTAAAAGGGGTAAGGAGGAAAGAAAGCTGGTGGGCTTGATGTTTTCATTTTTTAAAGAATTTCTGAGAAGCAAAACTCACCAGAAGACAAATAATTAGACCATAGCTTTGTGATGAGTGAAGTTGCTTCTGGTTTTCATCCTAGAATGTGTGCTCCATCTCTTAGAGCTCAGCGGATGGAGTCTGAGGTTAGGTGGTTTTATTATTATCTTGGTCATAATAATTATATTGCTTAACACTATGGTTTGGATGCTCCCTCCGGCTCAGAAAGTCCCTACAGTGGCTGCCAGAAGCTGTGAGAGCACAGCTAGGGAGGGGATGACTCTCTTTCCTAAGCTCTTCCTCCTGCCATTCACAACTGGCCACTGTGGCAGCCTTTGCTCTGAGCTCTGGGCTCTGGGCTCTGCAGCCTTTGCTGGGACTCAGTTTTGTGCTCTCAGTAGCATTAGCCCAGTGTGAGGGAAGGGAGCTTTCTCCTGCTGCTTTCTGGTGGTATTTTCTCCATTAACCTCTGCCTCAGCGGTGTTTGCCATCCTGAACCTTTTGTTCTGTGAAGCTGCAGTATCACGAAGCCTCCCCTCGGTTATTCTGCCTGTGCCATCCCAGTGCTTGCAGGGTCTGGAGGAAGACCATCCATGCTCAGCCCTCCCTGCCTGAATGTCCCATGTCTGTGAAGTCAGCCCTGCTGCTCTGCTGGGTTTATTTCTGATCGTGATAGGGAATGTGTCCCGAGAAAGCAACTGGGGCAGTGCTCTCCTTGTGCCTGGGCTGTCCCATCACCACATTAACAGGCAGCAACTCAGGATTCCCTGAGGATTCCCTCAACAGGAAGACATGTTATGTGGCAAGGACCACTCACAGCAGGGATGGGGACACACCTGAGTTGCCCAGAAATGTGTTGAGACCTGAAAAACAGCAGAAGACACACAAAGTTCTGGCCTCTACCTTTTCCTAGTGGGAGCTGCAGGCTGCAAGTTGCTGCAGATCCAGTGGATTCCGTGCCTGGATTAATCCATTGTCTCAGCTCCTGTGCCAATCTGCCCTTGGCTTGTTGCTCAGCTGCAGATCCAGTGGGTTTCTTGCCTGGATTGATCCATTTTCTCATCTGCCTTGCCAATCTGCCCTTGACTGGCTGCTCAGCTGCATGAACACCTTGCTGCTGCCTGCGACCACCTGCCAGGACAGCAGGGCCACTTGTAGCCCCCTGCAAAGGTAGCCAAGATGACACCTGTCTTTTGCAGCCCTGCCACCCCACTTTGCACTCTTTTTTTCTCTTTCCTCTGGAGCTACCCAGAGTTGAGCAGCCTTCATCTGTGCACAAGCATGTGCTGTGCTGGAGTTTTCCTCTTCCCTTAGTGCTGGGCTTTCTTGTGATCTCCACAGCTTTCCTCACTTCTGCAAGCTCTCTTCCTCTGTGATACCTTTTAGTAGAAAACTCTTCAGGGCACCTGAATCCACACACGTGTTTTCTCCTGTCCCTTCTTCCCCAGGCTCCTTAGCACTGATCTTGTTGTGGCTGAGCTTCAGCACAGCATTCTCTGTGCTAGAACTGTGAAGTTCTAGCAGTTTATAGCAATTAGTCAGAGCTGGCCTCCCCTCAAGCCTTCCTCTTCTCCCCAGAAGGTCACTCCAGCTATTGCTGTGTCCATGTGTCCTGCTGCTTTATATCCAGCTCCTTTACAGCTGTTCTGTCCCTGGTGCATCAGCCTGTCCCGGGCAGGCTGGCTGGGACTGGTGCACTAGGACCAGCTGCTGTCTCTGACCTGACAGCAGTGGTTTGGGAGGTCCTGTGATGTTGCTGTGATACAGGAGGGTGAATCCAGGACTGGGAAAAAGTCCTGAGCTAACACCACATCTTGTGATACAGACACACAAGGTTTGAGGATGTCTCTGGGTGCCCCTGTAGAGAGGTGGCATTGCAAGAGGTGGCCTGAGCTGTCGAGGCTTGAGATAAGTGTCATGTGTCCTCAGCCCCACATGCTGTTGCCTTCCAGTGATGCAGAGGCCAGAGATGGGATCTTCTGATCCCACTGGGGTCCTGGCTGGCAGAGAAGGAGCTCAGACAGGGCACCCTCAGGCCCGTGGAAGGGAAGGTCTGAGGTTCAGCCTCTGCTGGTGGAAGTCTCTCAGCCTGGCCAGGCAGGGCTGCCATTGCAAAGTGCTCTTTGCTCTATTCCAGCACCACTTTTCAGTTGATACCAGTTTCAGGAAAGCAGCTTTTCAGCCGTGCAGATCTGTTGCAGATCACCAAGCCCACCACAATTTAGAGAGACAGTGGCTGCAGTGCAGTGACTCCTTGGCACTTAGAAACTGTCCATCAGCCAAGCCCTCACCTCACCTCTCCTCTGCAACTCCAGTATTTCCACAAAACACCCAGATCAGAAATAAATGATTTTGCATTGAGAAGCTTTGGGACAGTGTTAATTTCGGAGGAAATGCTTCTGGACTCAAACAAAATATACTGTGCTTTCGTGCTATTTGCAGATTTTTATGACTTTGAGGTTGATTAGACGCTTTCTTAGAAAAATGTCCCCTTTCCCAGTTCTCTTTATTGAACAGTCTAATGTTTATATCACATGACCATGATGGCACAGGTGAGATGTGACTGTTTCAGACTCTTTTCTTCCACAGAAAATTTTTAGGCACCTCCTTAACTGCCCTCCCCCCACTCCCCTTTGCTCAAACACTGCAGGAAAAATCAAACTTGTACCAAAAAATCCTTAGCTGTTCGTGGTGGTCTCACCCCTGTCTCTGACAGGGTTCTACACCCCCAGCCCAGGCTCCTGCCCTTGGCCTTCATCTACTTCATGTTCCTCAACCTCTTGTTCCAGTATTAGTTTGTGCTGCAGAGCTGCACTTACCTGTGGGATGGAGGTTCTTCAGAGGATCCCACCTTTTCTTAAACTCCTCACTTTTCCCACTACCCTGCCCTGCGATCCCATCTTTGCACTCTCACGGCCATCAGGGCTGAGAAAACCTTCCACACTTTCACTTGTCCCCTGCCAGGTGAACCCTGAGCCATTTCTGCCTCTTTATCATGAGACCTCAGAGACCCTCAATGACACAAGACCCTTCACAGCCAGGGGACAACGTGTCCTGTGCTATCTCCCCCTCAGGGACACTCCTTGTCCTGCCTCTGTCACCCCAATCCCCACCTGGGCGTGCCCTAAACCTGCACTAACACCTTGGCAGCCCCCCAGCCTGTGACCCCCAGCAGCACCTGCCCCTCTCCTCCTCCCCACAGTAGCTAAGCCCACCCTGCCCTGCTCAAAAGAGATATTTTGTTCACTACTTTCTTACCTTAATTTCCCCAGGAACAACGAAAGCTCCACAAGTCTTACCAGCCTCAGAAACTAAAATAGTTGTTATGGAAGAAGAGTGTAAGTACCTCTCCCCCCGCTCCCCCCATACAGCTGCTTTCCCCTAATTTGTTTGTTATTATGAGACATTTTGCATAAATGCTTTATTGCCTCCTGAAACCTTCTTTAATCACTCCTTCTCTCTGATTTTTCCTGAAGCCACTGATCTTTCCCTATATCTTTCAAAAAATCTGATTTATATTGCTGGTGTCTATCTCAGAGAGGGAGAGGTTGATAACTATTGCAATGGCAGCTTGAAGAACGTGCTACTTCAAATTGCAACTGAATTTTAAGCATTCCCAGCTCTTTCAGTGCATGGAATTATTGATACTTGCAAGATGTGCTTGTTGCAGCCCTTGATTTAGTAGGGTTTTTTTATTATTATTTATTTATTCCTGTGGTTTTGGTTTTGAGTTTGGGGTTTTTTTTTTGAGGATAGGTGATAAAACTAAAGTAGGCTCTAGGAAGCACAAGAAAAGAGATGTGAGTCTTCTAAACATAAGTCATAAGAAAATTGCAGAAAATCCATCTGTGCCCTGCCCTCCCATTTTTCCTTGAGTCTCCAGAAAGCAAGAAGAGATTGCCCCAAACTTTTAATTTGATTCAATGTGGCTGAAATGCTTTTCACCATTCCCTCCTATTCAGTTGTCCCAAATGCAGTAGGGAAAGGGTCCACAGCAATAAAAATCAGAGCACGGACAAGGTGTGGATCTGGGATCCCAGTGCCTGGATGTTGGCTCAGGTCTTTCTGGTGGAGGGTGTTATGTCTGTGTCAGAGGTTCTCTCCCCAGTGGGCATCCCACCAGGATCCCATCTAACCCCCCTGGGAAGTCAGGACCAGGAGGGTATTTTTGAGATCTGTGCTGTATTTCCATCCCAGCTCCTGATGCCCAGAGCTGGCTGTGCCTCACTGTTGGCAATTCTGCTTTACAGATTTTATGGGGATGTTCCCTACTTGGAAAGCTCAGCCTTTTATGATTTTAAAGGAAATCTGATTGCAGCCACAGCAGGCACTGGCCAGGTATCCTTTAAAAGCTTTTCTGATTAGAAAACTGCACTTAAAATGTGCTCTTGTGTAGTGCTCAGCCTTGCACTGCACTGGAGACACCAAGCTGAGACACAGCATCATTAATGCCATGATCCTTCCCCAGGATTTTTCCTTTGTTTTCACCAGGAGAGTTCCATGCTACTTCTTTGCATCATATAAGATAAATGCTATTTTCTTAAAAGCCAAATCTCAGAAAGGAAACACAGAAATTTCTCCTTTTGGAAAACTTCTTTCCTCTGCGGGTGCACCATCCCTGCCTGTTTGGCTTTTTCTAATGATGGGAAGAGATGGCAAAGTCTCTACAGTTAAGGTTGTAATTGACTTTTTCCTTCACGTTCCTTTTTTGTGATCTCTCTCAATTGTCATCTAAAAAGCTCAGAGTCTCTCTGATTTTTATGGTGACTGATGATCTATCATAGAACTGCACGTGTGTACAGCCTATGGGGAGATAATGGGGAAAGGAGTGGGATATTATGTATTTTCCCCTTGGAACACTGTTAACGCCTTTCTTACCACCTCAAAGCGTAGCTACTAGAAAATCCTGCCACATTCCGAGTTAGGCTGGACTTCCTCCTCCTGTTCCCCAGTGATCACAGACCTCTGGGCACTGCTGCATCCTTGGCACAAGGCAGACAGTGCTCAAAATGCAGCCCAGGTCTCCAAGGTGCTCTGTCTCCATTCTTGGGTAACTTTTTTCCCTGGAAGTGTATTTTTTGTCCTGCTGCTCTCCATCTCTGCACATTCCCATGACAGGAGGCTGCAGAGGGCAAGGAGGCAGATTGGTACCACTGGTTCTTGGAAACATCTGCATTGTCACGATGAAGGGCAGGGGATCTCCTCCCCAGCTGCTGCTCCCCTTGCCTACACACTGGAGCAGGAGCTCTGGCTCCCTTTGGCAGGGACACTGTTTGGTGTGGGCCTCACAGGTCTCATGACAGTTTAGAGAAACCCAAGGATCTCGTGGTGTTTCTGGTGTAGTGACAACCCTGATACCAGTCTGGATCTGGAACCAAAGACAGCACACTTGGGAGACCTGGGATCTGACAGTGCTGCATTTGAGAGCTGTCTGGGATCCACTCTGCCTTGCTCCCTTGTCCAGCCCATGTGGATGTGACCCTATACCCAGGGTGAGTACTGGGACCTGCCAGACAGAGAGCTGGGTTTCCTGAAGCCCCCACTACCTGGTATGAGCAAGGCATGAGGCATCACTCAGCTTCCTTCAGTGGTGTGTGGATCCCTTCAGATGAAGCAGAGCCATTTAGAAGCTGGAGGAAGGTGGACCATGTAGTGTGATGAGTCCTGGCCTGGTCATAGGGGCGTAGTGTCCAGCTTTGATCCACATGGCCAGGCTGCACTCTGAGGGCAAGATTCAGAAAGGAAACCTGCTGTCTGGGAAAGTCTTTCCATGGTGCTGCACATCATGGTGACACAGTGACACAGTGACACAGTCTGACACCTTCCCCTGGGTATTTTTGGTGGAGCACTGTCAGACTAGAGCAGCCCTAGAGATACTTGAGCACTGAGGTTCAAGGAGTAGTACCTGCTACTCTCACCAAGAAGTCTCCCCATGGAGCCCAGGAAGCACAAGGTAGTTGCAGCAGCCCCATGCATGGTGGAAAATGTTAAGGAGGACACGTTGTCTTGTGTGTGTCACGGGCTAAGGTTGTGCAGTTGGGTGGTCACAGTGTCTCAGCTCACACGCAAGAACTTGCAGGGATGTGGTAACTTGATCGTGTGCCCTGATGCAGAGAGAAAGGTCCTTTATGCTCATTTCAACATCCAGAGGACTCAAAAGGGTAACGTGATCCTGTCACTGTGCAGCCTGAAGCAGCTAAACGAGGTTCAGGAGTCTGTGGTGATAGACAAGTTTGGTAAATAGAATAGGAATCAGTGCCCACATTTAGAAGCATTCTGATGGAGGCAAAAATGGAAGAAGGGTCAGAGCAACCTGTAGAGCATTCTGAGATGTAAGGTTTATGCAGGACAAAGACAGTAAAACCCTTTTAGAGTTCCATTTTAAAAACTTAAGATAATTCTTGAAATCTCTGAAAAGATCAGATAATCCCCTCTGCTTGTTTTCTGCTGTTGAGTTCTCTAGTTTATTCCCTTGAATTCAACAAATAGGTGAAGTCTTGAGGGTAGGAAGAGAAGACAGGCTGGGTGGAGGAAGCATGGTTTGGATACTGTCAGGACACCATCTGTCAGTGGTTGGCAGATGCTCTAAACCAACATGTGGATCATTGCAGCTGCTCTCCTGGACTCTGCTCACGGCCCAGGTTCACTGTCCAGCTGACCTGAGTGAGTGGCCTCACTCTACCCTTGGCTGTGGGTGCTCCGCAGCAAAGAGAGGTTTGGGATCACAGGAGGAGGTGGAACAGGGAGAAAGAGCAGAAGAGGCAGTGCTGAGTTTTGCTGGGAACATGAGGATTGGGGGATATTGTGATTTATCTGAATGAGAGTTGGGCTCTCTGGACTGAGTTTTGGGGCCTTTATTTCAGCTGCTGAGGATCACAAGCCCTCCCTGGACTCCCTGTAGAGATCACTGGGAGAGGGATAGGTGAAAGAATTCTTCTTTCTCTAGTGGAGTCTAACTCTCCACATGCCAGTTTGGGTCCACAGATTTCACAGCTGTCATCTTGGCAATGTCATTGGACTAGGTTTGTAGACTGATTCATTTATATTCATTCAGGTTATCCCTCTCCAGTTTAATACCTTCCCCAATGCTTAGATGGCTGGGTGTTGGAAATGTTTGCCTCACTTTGTCTCTCCAGGCGAGACAGGCCTGCTGGACTTGCATGATTGCAATGGCTCAGTGATGTCTCTGCTGTGATGTGCTTTGTGAGTCACATCTAGTCCAATCAGAGCTTTCAGCACACACACCACAGTAACACGTGCCACATATGGGTCAGCCAACTCCCCAAAACCTTGTCTCAAGTCCAGTCTGTCATGGCTTTACTGAGTGACCATGTTAGTTGGCTGGTCAGTCTGTGGCCCCTCCAGTCTGAAGGCACTGTGCTCTGCCAGAGCCAGCAGTGCTGCAAATGTGAGCATGGTGCTCTTGGTTTGGAGTTGAAGGGTGTCCAGTCAGCCCAGAGCACAGGCAGAACAGACAGAAGTCCAGCCATGTGGACAGACCAGTTTTCAATATCAGACTAAAAATAAGTCTTGGCGTGGTCTTTGTGCAGATAATTTAAACCCCAGGGCCGGAGGTGTGGTTGTAATTGAGCAGAACCTGCACACACACAGACGTGGGACCTTGAGGTGAATGTGGTGGAGATCTCGCTGTCAGTCTGCAGAGAGCTGTGAGGTGGCTGCTGCCAGATCCTGGTTGTTGCTCATTTTGCTCACTGTGTATTTTTTAAGCAGCTACTGCTCAAGATGTAGCATAAAACCATGCTGTGACTCTGAAGGCAAAGAAGGGCAGGGTGAAGGCAGGGATGGGATCCGATGTCCCTGGAAGCACTGAGGCTGTGAGCCCATGTTCAGAGCAGCAGGCTGTGTACCAGGCTCTGTCTGGCTCCATCGTGTGATCCTGGCATGTTGCTTCACTTCTTGGGCTTCAGCTGCCCCAACTGCGAAGGAGTCACGCTGGCATTGGCTCTGCAGAAGGATTTTTAGGTTGCTGAACAAATCCCCTCATTGAAGTATCATGTTGCTGCTATTACAATTGATGATGGGGATTTGGGAAAAGAAAATGCATTCTGGGACCCCTGTGGCAGAGAAAAGCATAGGAAGGGCTCCTTCATAAAGCTGATGAGATCATTCTGGAGGAGCAACTAGAAGCTTTATAATAACACAGGACTTTGTCCCTGCAACAGCTACCTGGCCTGTGGGAACAGGCAGTCCCTGGGCACTCAGAAACCTTTCAACTTGCTCCTCAGTGAAACTCCTGAACAGTGCAGATGGGAAAAGTGGGAAATGCTACCTGTGTTGTTTTGATCAGCAGCATCTGATGCTCCAAGATGAGTGTCCT